AGTCTCCTTCACCCCCAGGAAATTGCCTCACCCTTTGTCCACCCAGGATCAGGCCAGAAACCTGGGAATATTTTTTTTTCCCAAGACTAGAGATAATTTGCATACATAATAAGGCCAAAGTCTTAAGTGTTCGGCTCCATGGGTTTTTACATCTAAGCACACTTGTATAATCACCACACAGATAAAGACACAGAGCCATGCTGTACATTTCAGTAGCCTCTAGTGTCATGTTGCTACTGAGTGCTTGAAATGCGAAATCCGAATTCAGAGGCACCATGCTTTTGAACTGTGGCGTTGGAGAAGACTCTTGAGAGCCCCTTGGACTGCAAGGAGATCCAACCAGTCGATCCTAAAGAAAATCAGTCTTGAATATTCGTTGGAACGACTGATGCTGAAGCTGAAACTCCAATACTTTGGTCACGTGATGCAAAGAGCTGACTCATTGGAAAAGACCCTGATGCCGGGAAAGACTGAAGGAGGGAGGAGAAGGGGATGACAGAGCATGAGATGGTTGAATGGCATCACTGACTCAGTGGACATGAGTTTGAGTAAGCTCCGGGAGTTGGTGATGGACAGGGAACCCTGGCGTGCTGCAGTCCATGGGGTCTCAAAGAGTCGGACACGACTGAGCAACTGATCTGAACTGAACTGATGAGTATGAAGTGGGCTTCCCAGGTGGCTCAGTGGGTAAAGAATCCAGCTGCCAATGCAGGAGATGCAGGTTCAACTCCTTGGTTGGGAAGATCCCCTGGAGGAGGGCATGGCAACCCACTCCAGTATTCTTAGCAGGAGATTCCCATGGACAGAGGAGACTGGTGGGGCTACTGTCCACAGGGTCACAAAGAGTTGGACATGACTGAAGAGACTTCATGCATGCACACGAATATAAAGTACACAAAGATTTCAAAGACTTAGTATGAAAAGAGAATGTAAAATAGTTCGTTAATAATTTAAGTATTCATTACACACTGAAATAATATTTTGCACGTGGTTTACATAAAATGTAAAATGTATCATTAAAATTAATCTCACCTGTTTCTCATTTTTTTAAACTGTGGCTAGGAAATTTTAAATTACATTCACGGCTTGCACTAGACTTATTGTTCAGCACTGGTGTGGACAGAACTGATTTGTTTACCTGTACAACAGGGACTCAGATAAGTGGCTTTACATTGCCCAACTGTGGCAGAGTAGGATGGGAAACAGGGTCCATTTGAACCCTGAATCTATGACATCCACAGCGCCTCCCTCCTCCAGTCCCCTGTCCTAAATGAGGGTGCTGCTGCTGAGTGCTGAACCGTGTCCTGGGTGCCCCTGATGCCAGCACCAACCTCCACCCCCTCGGTGAGCCCATCCTGGGTTAGGGTAGTCAGGGAGGAGGAATTCCTGGAGGAGGTGATTAAACCAACACTTGAAAGATGAGCAGGAACAAGCCCTGGAGAAGCAGAGGGAAGTATTTTAGGTAAAGGGAACAGCACGTACGAAGGCCCTAAGAGGGCCTGGTTATTCTAGAAATGAAAGTAGTTCTGTGTGGCTGGAACAGAGAAGCGGGGAGCTGCTGAGTTCGGCCAGGCCCAGATCCTGTAGGTCATGACTGGCGTCAGCCTGAAGGTCAGAGATGGTCAGGGGACAGACCTAGCCAGGCTTGTGTGTGATCTGATAAGATCACTAAGTGTGGTCACTAAGAACCGCTGCAGGATCTTAGTTCCCTGACCAGGGATTGAACCCAGGGCCCTAGAAGTGAATGTGCCATATCCCAACCACTGGACCACCAAGGAACTCCCTCCCATGGAGGCAGCTTCCTAGAAGACACAGCCCAGGCCCCAGCTGCTCCAGGTTGCACAACCCCTGACCCCCAAGGATGCCTCCCACCGCCATCTCCTAAGTCAAGCATCCTTGACCCCCCCTCCCCTCCTCTCTCTGTGCAGGTCTTTGCCGTGCCTGACACAAAGTAGACTCTCAGTAACTATTTTAGTTTTTGAATGAACGCAGAACGCTCTGGAGCTAGGCACCGCCTGCACCACTGTCCTGGCAGAGAGAGCTGCAGAGAGCCCTCGGGGTGAGGCCAGGAGGCCAGCTCCAGGGGGCAGAGGGAGGAAGGCCCTGAGGCAGGGAGGTTCTCTAGGAGCTGAGAGTCTCCCAGGGCCAGGGGAAGCCCTCCCCACAGCCTAGGGGGACGTCTGACCTGGCTTCTCCCTTAATCCACTGTGTGACTCCTGGCAAGTCACCTCCAACCATCTGGACAATGGGATGAGAAAGCCTGCCCTGCCTGTCTCCCCAGGGAGGGGCAGGGGTTGTGAGCATCAGATGAGGTCATGGCTGGGAAAATGGGAAAATCGGAACAGGAAAGAGCTGGGTTAGGCTGGGTCGTGGGCCTGGGTTCAGGGTGTGGAGCGGGGAGAGGGACAGGAAAGCAGGAAGAGAAAAGAATTAGGAGAGACAGCCACACGCACATACATGCATGCACAAAAGAAGGAAAGAACAGAAAACTCTGAGAGATGGGGAAAGAGGGAACGAAGGAGAGACGACAAAAAAGAAAATGTAGAGGCAGAGTGAAAGAAATGAAGAGGGGAAGGAAGATGGGAAGTTAGGGGCAGAAAGATGGAGGTGGAGGGATGGAGGAGACAGAAAGAAGCTATGAGAATCAGAGTCAGGGCAGGAAAGAGACAGAGAGGGATGGGAGAGGGGCAAGGAGACAGGATGATGGGGGTAGGGGCGTCAGACGGGAAGGGAGGGAGGGGGTACTCCTTCTCCCATGGACCCCAGCAGGCAACTGCACCGTCAGGGACTCCGCACCCTGCCACTCCCCGGACGGGTGGGGCTCCTCTTGTCTGTGGGCCCCGCTGGTCCGGTCCTGTCTTGCTGGTTTGGCTCCCAGCACCCTCCCCTCCGAGGCTGCTGAGGGGTGCCCCTGGGGGAAAGCATGGCCCCAGAGCCTATCCAGCTGACCTGGCTGCCGGTTAATCTGAAGGGAAAATCCAGTGACACCCTCCCTCAAGGCACCAGGCAGGCCGCAGCCCGTCTCCCTTTGGGGCAGGCAGGAAGAGACCTCAGAGGTCAGCTCCACTGCACCCAGCACTGAACAGAGCAGGAAACGGAGACCCCGAGAGCGGCAGGGGCAAACCTGCAGTCACATCACCAGGCAGGGGCCTCACCAGAACTCCCCACCGCAGATGCTGTGGTCCCAAAACCTTGGGGATGGGCCTTCTTCTGGGTAAATTGCTTCCTGCCCAGGGGTGCCCTGAGCCTTTGGCGACAGCGTTTCAGATGCAGGGCACTGTGCCCAGGGTCCTGTGAAGTGGCCACTGTGAGTATGTCCATCACATAGATGAGAAGACGGAGGCTCAGAGAAGCTGAGACTTCCAAGCCTGAAGTCACGCCGCGCCAGGACCCAAGCCTGGTCTGTCCCACCTTGAGTCTGGTTCCTGCCCTGGTGCCTCCCAGACTCCCTGGGTTGTGACCAGCACAAAAAGGTTCCATAATATAAAAAAGGAGGGCAAGGTGTGTGACAGGGTCTTATGCTGGGAAAGTTCTCGGAACAGTGGGAAGATCAGACTTCTTCCCAGAGGGACCCCCCGCCCCCCGTGTTCAGTCCCTGCCTTTGGGAACCCCAGGTGTCCCTACCCTTCCGGCCACCACCTGTTCTACCCTACACCCCCTTTCCCAGCCTCTGGAGAGAAGGAGTTTGGATGCTGGGCTCCCCTCCCCATCTCCCCCTCCTCTTTACTGTCCCCAGCCATGACCTTTGGAGCTACAAGACCCAGGCTGCTGCTGAAGCCAGAGATGCATTTGCATAGCTGTAGCTCCCTTCTCCCCCCTCTGCCCCAGGGAGCTGCCCTTCCCCACCTCTTCCCCCACTGGGGCTCGTTCTCCTGGAAGAGACCCAGGTGGAGATTGAGGGGATGTTACGGGAGCAGTAGGCTGATGGGCAGAACAGATGAGACACTGTCCCAGCCGGCTCTGACCTCCCAGAAAAGCCCCCCAAGAGCTGCACTCCCAGCCTCTAACCCCAGCTCTAACCCCTCTAGTCCCCAGCTGGGGTCTGACTGAGGTTCCCTCACCCTCACTGAATCTCAGTTTCTTCATCTGCACGTGGGTTTTAAGCACCCAGCTTTCCCAGTTGGTCGGAAGTTGAATAATACATCAGCTTTGAGATGCAGGAACAGCTGCTGGGTGTTGCCCCTCCCTGATGGAGAGACCACCCGGGTCTCCTGCAGGACACAGTATGGCCTGCAGTGTCCCCAGGAGACTGCAGTCCAAGCAAGGAGGTGCCGGCAGACTCAGCCCCCGAGTCCACCTCTGCTCCTCTGGGGACCTCAGTCCCTTAAAGTCCAAAGGATCAGCCCAGCCCAGAGCTGCTTTCAAAGTCCGCGGTGGCTGTGAGGGCTGCTACTGGGCCACGCCTGTGCTTGGAGTCCAGGAAGCGGGGAGACCTGGGACTCTGTTCCCTGAGGATGCTGAGTGCCTTTCCTAGAACCAGGACTGGGCAGGGGGAGCACCCCAACGGGCCAGGGGATGGATGCTCCCTTTCCCAGAAGCCTCAGAGCTCCCGGGTGAGGGGGTGGCCACAAAGCCCCAATTCTGCCCTCGTCTCCTTTACCCAGCTTTGGCAGAGTCTCACGACCTTCCGCCGGCTTCACGGAGGTGGGCGTGGCAGCCATCTCTGAGCGGGGTGATGAGTTCAGGAGCCTCCTCTGAGCCCCTGGACACTCCTCCCGCACCCAGGGAGACGCAGACACCCCTCCTGGTCCCCCGCCCCCAGGTCCCAGGGCTTTGGCTCCTACTGTTCCCATCCAGGCGGGCTGGGCCGGCGGCAGGTGACTGGAAGGCGTGGAGGAGAAAGGCAGGCTGCGTGGGGGCGTGGGCCCCGGCAAGTGCACTCCTCAGCCAATCAGCGGCCTGCCTAGCCGGTGGATTCGGTTACAAGCCCCGGATCACCGCACACTCCAGGCTCCTTCCTACTCCTCCCAAAGCTCCATTCATTGGCGCCGCCACACCAGCTCGGCTGGGCACCGCTTCCGCTCGGCGGCCGCAGGGTTGCTGCCTCGTGGGCCCACCAGGGTAGGCTTCCCGAGGGCTTTGTCTGGCTGGGCCAGGGCAGGATGGGGGTTCTGGTGGCACTGTGGGGAGTGCTGAGCTTCCTGGGGGTGGCTCCGGGGGGCTCCCCTGCCCTCCACTTGCACAGCACCTCCTGCCACTTGGCCAGGCCCATCGCCAGCATCTCTTTGGGATCCCTGAGATTCCTGGGCGAGGATGTCCAGGGACTAGCCCTGTTCCATGCCCGCTGGGATGGGCACGGGAGATTGCAGGTGTGCAGCCGGCAGGATGAACCAGAGCTCACTGCAGCCTTCGGTGCGCTCTGTGCTGGTGAGATCACCCGAGGCTCCTTCATCCACACCCCTGGACCTGAGCTGCAGAGAGCCCTGGCCATCCTTCAGAGCCAGTGGGAGGTCTGCCAAGGGCCTGCTCAGAGTCCAGCGGGGACCAGGCAGAAGCGAGCAGCAGGGCGGAGTGGAGCGCCTGGCATCGGGCACCAGCGGGTGAAGAGGGGCTGGACTATGCCTGGCACGCTGTGGTGTGGAGTTGGGGACTCTGCCAGGAATTCCACGGAGCTAGGTGAGACCTCAGGGTATGGACTGGGGGGCTGGTGGGAGAGGAAGTGCAGGCTTTAGCCCCGGCATCCACTCTCCCAGGCTGCGCGTCCTGAGGGAGCGACTTAGCTACTCTGAACCTCAATGTCCTTATCTGTAAGATGTGCATGCATGCTCAGTCGTGTCCGACTCTTTGCAACCCCACAGACTGTAGCCCGCCAGGCTCCTCTGTCCCTCCAGGTTCCTCTGTCCAAGGGATTCTCCTGGCAAGCATATTGGAGTGGGTTGCCATTTCCTCTTCGAGGGGATTTTCTCCACCCAGGGATTGAACCCGTGTTTATTGCATGGCAAGCGGATTCTTTACTGCTGAGCTACCAGGGAAACCTGTAAAATGGGGTGATCATAAACCTCATCTTAGGGTGCTCAAATGAGGTTATAGATGGGAAATATCCTACTCACACCTGGGAGCCATCATCAGTCACCATTAGTCACCAGGGAGGGGGCTGGCTGGGGCTGGCTGTCCAGGTTGGGCTGAGCCAAAAAGCCATTACCCAAGAGGAGGATTTATAGGCACAGGATGCCCAGCCAACTGGAGAAGGAGACCCAAAGGCTTGGGTTCAAATCCCAGCTCAGCCCTTCCAAGCTGAATGAGTCACTTCCCCTCTCTGAACCTGTACAGTAAAAGTGACAACTCCCTCCCAGGGCTGCTGTGTGCTGGGGTGGGAAGTGCCAGACGTTTGGAAGATGCTCAGTAAAGGGCCTTATTGCTCGGGTGGTGGAAAGCATGCATGGCTTTTTTGCACTTCTCAGTGCAGCTGTCTGCGCTTTCGTGCGGAGGGCTGTGGGAGGACTTGGCACTTGCATTGGAGCAGGTTGGCGTCCTGACAATGCCTCATTGCGCCAGCGAGGCTGCACCCGGCTGTTTGCCATCCCATCTCACACACATTTGGAACTTTGGAGTTTCACTTGGGCTGCAAGCCTGAGAACTCTAGAGGCAGACACCTGTTCACCCAAGGGAGATTTTTCCATGGGCAAGGGCTTCTGGGTGGGCTGCCTGGCACTTGGCGTTGCTCAGCAGAGGCTGCACCTGGGTGTTCTCTTCAAGTGTTGGAACCGTGAGTCCCACAGAGGGAGACACGGAGGTGTCTCTGCTCCTGACACCACATGGGCAGAGTTGGCATTTGGTGCCCAGGGTCCTGGCACCCTGCTGAGCCAGTGCCCCCTTTACTCCCTGCAGGGGTCTTCCAGGGCCCTGATCTCTGCTGCCAGGAACACGACCACTGCCCCCAGACGGTCTCACCCTTCCAGTACAACTACGGCATCCGGAACTACCGATTCCACACCATCTCCCACTGCAGCTGTGATGCCAGGTTAGTTAGCGCTGGGCAGGGAGGGCTGGGAGCTCAGGGTGGGGTTACCCAGTTACTGGGTACAGAGTCTGAGCTCCAGAGAGTCCCAAAGGATCAGCCAACCAGACTCCCCTGTGCAGTGGGAAAGCTGAGGTTTAACAGGAGCTGGGATTCTTGGACTCCATGTCACCTGGCTGGTAGTGGTAGCTAGGTGGTCTGGGAGAGGAGCCAGGTAGCCTTCTCAGATCCAGGGACTGAGCGCCGGCTCTGGGGCAGGTTCCAGCAGTGCCTACAGAGCCAACGGGACTCCGTCTCCGACATCGTGGGCATGGTCTTCTTCAATGTACTGGCGATCCCCTGCTTTGTGCTGGAGGAGCAGGAGGCCTGTGTGGAGTGGTACTGGTGGGGCGGGTACGTTTGGTTCCCTGCCTGACCCCCTTCCCAGCCTGGGGGCGGGTAGCTGGGGCTCCAAGGCTGGGAGGGAGACCTGTCTGTATGTCCGTCATCCATGTCTCGTCCTGTCCTCCCTGTCCTCTCCTCGGGGAGGGGGTGGGGGCCCCAGGATACAGACATGCCCTGGGTGCCCTGCACAACCCAGTGGGCTGTGGGATGAGGGGATGGGACTGGCAGAGCCCCGATCTCCATGGAGATGAACCTGGGGACCTCTGAGAGGGACGATTCTGGGTGACCAATGCCACCATGTGCTGCCTCCCAGGTGTAGAAGGTACGGCTCTGTGCCACTTGCTCGTCTCCAGCCCAGGACCCTCTACAACGCCTCTTGGAGCTCCCCTGCCACCCCAACTCCCAGTCCCCAGAACACAGCCCCAAGCCAGCCTCAGCCGATACAGCATCCTCAGACGTGGCCAGCACAGCAGAAAGAGTCCAGGCACCCCAGTCAAGCCAAGGCCACAGCCCTCCAGGCTCCTGCAGCCTCCGCTGGGCCTGCCATGCTCCCCAGAGTCCAGCTGGAGGTCACCAATCCAGGCCTCCAGGGGCCTCGGGGTGGCCTAAAACCTCAGGGTGAGTGCAGAACCTAACCTAACTTTGGGGGCGCCTGAGGTAAAGAGGAGCCTCTGTATGGGGTTGGGGGGGCCCTGTGTCATTTTCTGCTCTGAACTCCTTCCAGTGACTCCCAACTTCACCCATCAAATCACACTGCAGCCAGAGGGATTTTTGTAAGCTGCAATCTTGACCATGGGACTCCCTGCTGAGCCCCCACCACAGTGTTCCAACACCCAGGGGTTCTTTGGGTGCTGGTCCTGCAAACCCTACTCCCCAGTCAAAATTCCAGCTTCACAAACTGCATTTGTTTCCTCTGAAGCTGCTTGCTCTCTCCCACTGCTGGGCCTTTGCACATGCCGCTCCTGTTCCCTGGGGCATTCTCCCTGAGTCTTCCTCTTTCAGCATCAGCTTAGCAGCCTCTGCCTCCAGGGACCCTTTTCTGACCACTCTTACCTCTCTGGGCCTCCCCCAGGGCAGCGCTGCTCTGTATGTGTGTGTGGGTGTGTGTGTGTGTCCCCTCTACGTGTGAACCACTCTACGGGAACAGAAGACAGGAGACGAAGGGACACTGTGCATGGAGGACTGAGCCTGTGCCAGAGGGCAGCGGGCAGCAGTGAGACCTCGATGCGGGACGGGGCTTCCCTCACCACTGCACCTGCCCCCAGGTATCCGCCGGGCCTGCCGCAGCTTCCGCCGCCTGGACCAGTGTGAGCATCAGATTGGGCCCCAGGAGACCAAGTTCCAGGTGTTCAACAGCGCCCGGGACCCCTTCTTCCACTGCAACTGCACGCGCCGGTGAGGCCTGCTCGCACCCCTGTGGGGTGGGCTGCCTGTTGCCAGGCACCGGGAAGGGACAGACTCCAGGCTGGAAAGGCTCTGCCCTGGCCTGAGCTTGCCTCTGCCCTCAGCCTGGCCCGCTTCCTGAGGCTCCACAACCCACTCGTGGGCGCCACCGTGCTTCGGGAGCTGCTGGGCATGACCTGCTTCAAACTGGTCCCTCCGCTGGACTGTGCTGAGGACAAAGGGTAGGTGACGGCAGGGCCAGGAGGGACGGGGGACTTCTCCAAGGGGGTGGGTTGCCTCTGCCCTCTTTGTGCACCTGGGCTGAGAGGGTGATGGAGGGGGTCCGGGCCCACATAGGTTGCATCTCAGCTCTGTCGTCTACTTCCTATGTGATCTTGCTAGCTGAATCACCTGTCCACACCTCCATTTCATCACCTGTGAAATGGAGGTGGACGCCAGGGCATGTTGTTTGTGATGTCCATAGGCAAGGCCTGCAGAACACCTAGTGAAACACCTCCTGAATTCTTCCTCCTAAGCCACAATCTCATTTCGATTCTGAGTCTCAAAACCAACTCCTTGTTACTTTTCCTATTTCACATGTAGGGAAACTGAGGCCCAGACTGGCCCAGGTTTCTGCAGCCATCTGGGGCAGAACCCCGGCCTCTAAGTAGCAGATTAGGTTTATTCTGCCCCCTGCTAAGTATAACCACTCCCCACCCCAGCCCCATCCCTGTTTCTCTCTGGGCCTTGGTTGCCCTCTATGCAGAGCAGGGTGGGTTTCTTGCCAGCTATGACCCCCTGTCTCCCTCTTCTCTCCCTACAGCTGTTCCAGTGACCCCAGGGCCATCAGAGTGTCAGCTCGGCACCTGCGGCGACTTCAGCAGAGGCGACGCCAGCTCCAGGGGACGGGCGCACACCACAGGCAGGCAAGGCCTTCAGAGCACCCAAACGCCTCCATGTCATTCTACGACCGGTGCCTGCAGCTGACCCAGGGAGCCAGAGGACCCAGAGGACAGCAGAAACCCTGGAACCAGTGACCTCACTTCTTGTTCTCCTGGGCACTAGATTGGACCTTGTCCTGGCTTTGCTGGGCCCTGGGGTGGGTCTCAGCTTCCCCTCCATTGTGAGACTGAAGTGTGGACAGACAGAGGGCCGCACGGAGGGCTGTGGGGGCCAAGGCCCAAATGCTGGACCGTGCCTCCTGCTGTGCTGAGCGATCTTGGGCTGGTGACACAAACTGTCTGTGCTTGGATGTGGTATTCAGGAGGCTCATTCTGCTGCCCCAGGCTTGGGCCTTCCCAGGGAGTTAACAACCAGATGGGAAAGAGGAGAAGGTAACATTGCAGGAGCCCCGGGAAGTACCAGGAGGAGGTACACGTATGCTCATGTTGTGAAACTAACACACATCTCCAAAGAGTTGTCCAGGAAGGCCCCAGAGCCTGCCTGCTGAGGTCTGGGGGCAGAGGGTGGTGAAGGAGGGATGTCACAGAAGGGCATGTGTCTGAATACAGGATGGGGGAGCTAGAGAGGGGCTTCTTAATTCCCCTCCTCCCCAGGGGACCCCCTTCTATTAACAGCTGCTATGCCCTTCCCAGCCCAGCCCTGGTCCATTCTTTCTGCCCTAAACCTAAATTCAGACCTTCTCTATGCCCTTGAGCAAGAGACCTCCTTCACTCTGAGCCTTAGTTTCCTCCTCTGAGAAAGAGGGGTGTAGACAGGAGCTACCTCATAGGGTTGTTGAGGATTAAGTGAACCAACTCGCAGACAGCACTCAGCACCCAGTAAATGTTCTCTCCCTCCAACGCCCAGCCAAACTGCACTTAGATGACTGATTTTCAAAGGTACACAGAACCTCTTGGAGGCCTCAGTTTGCTCACGTGTGAAATGGGGCTAAGAACTGCACTGAAGTCAGTGCCACAACTCAGGCTTAGGTGCCGATTAAAGGAGATGGCATGTGTGATGTATACAGCTGGTGCCTAGTCATTGTCAGACGTGTCATCCTCTCGCCTCTGTAGTCCTTTCCTCCGACCACCCGCTCCCCACCCCAGACTGCTAGCAAGTTAGGAAGGAGTCGGGAGTGAAGCTGGAGAATTTAATTCCTAAACAATGACCTCCGGGTTTGCTCCCCTCCCCCATCCCAGATGGGGGCCAGGACAGGGCTCTGCTGATTGTCACAGTTGAGGTGCCAGGACTGAGTTCGGGGGACCCCAGGTGGCCACCCCTGGCCAGAACAGAGTGGCAGGTGCGGATCAAGCTGGAGCAGCGGCAGGTGGGAGGCAGGTGGGTTTGCAGAAGACTGGGGCAGAGTGGGGGCCACCTGGGCCCGCCCGCCCACCTCACCCTCAGGGCCCCAGGCCCCCCTCCTCCAGCCCCTGCCGACCCTGGGGGCTAGGAGACAGGCTGCCGGAGGAGGCCAGGGCCTCCCGATCAGGTCCCCAGGAGCTACCCCCGCCGGGGTCTACGGTCTCTAGGCGCAAGGCGGGCAACAAGCCCAGGCTTCGAGGCACAGATGGCGGGAAGGCCCAGGCCCCCGGCAGCCCAGGGGGCCCCTCCTCACTGCTGCCCCGGCTGCCACCATTGCTGCCCCTGTCGGGGGCCGCCTGAGGCAGGTGGCGGCTCTGCGGCGAGGGGCTTCTGCTGGTGCCCCGGCGCTCCCGGGACGAGGGCCGCAGGGCGAGGTTGGGGAAGCGGGCCAGGCCTGGGCTCCGACTGCGGTGCCGCTTGGACTTGCCAGGGCTGGGGCTGCGGGACTTGGGTGCCAGCAGCTCCAGGGTGCTGTCATCCTCATCCTCTGAGCTGGAACCTGAGCTGTCTGTGCTGCTGCTGGTCGGCTCCGAGGTAGGCAGCGAGATCTGGTGGGGCAAGGCTGCTCACTGGGGTGCCCGTCTCCCTAACCGGCTGTGGAGGCCTCTGGGAACCCCTCCCACCCTCCCCACTGGCAGACCCAGGAAGGTCAGGCTACTGTAGAGCTTCCAGAGAACGCAGAGACTCTAGAGGATCTGATCAGTCTTCTGGCGCCATCTCCCCACCCCCAGCCCCAGACTCTGCAGCCAGGACCACTCACCTGGAAGGGCTCAGTGACACCGATGAGGATGCTGTGGGTGTGGCTATAATAACCTAGAATGAAGTCTCCGTGGCCTTTGGGCAGTGAGTCCTCACTGAATGTCACCTGGTGGGTCGGGAGGTTTAGGCCCAGGTTGGGGTGAGGGAGACAGCCTCAGGACCCCTGAAACTGAATCCTGAGCCCCCAAGGGCAATAAGGGCTTCATTCCACTCTCCCCCTCCCCTTAAATACCTGGTAGGTGCTCCCGTCCACATCCTCATGTTTGGCCCAGACATAAGCCACGTAGTCCTTGCAGTGACGGAAACCCACCTGGGGCGAGAGCAATCAGGATCGTGACCCGAAACGGTGACCCTAGCAGCCGCCCTGGGTGACATCAAACTCTGGAGAAGCCCTGTATGGATCCCTGGCTTCCCCTTCAGGCCCGAAGTTCCCTCCCCGATCTGCTGACCGCCCCTGCCCTTCTCACCCGGTACAAGCCGATCCAGTCCCAGGAGCTGCGGGCGAACACCGTCTCTATGCGGTACCTCACCACGGCCTGCTCCGGCCGCACCCACTCATCTGCCACCTCCAGCCGCACCAGAGGCACGTCGTCTCTGAAAGCAAACTGTCCGGGGGGGTGGGGGTGGGGTAGGCAACATCAGGGAAGACCCTCTAGCATTCTCTGCACCTAGAGCCCTTGGGCATGAGTTGGCACAAATAAGCTGAGATGAAGGGCCTTTGAGGCTGCTGCACAGACTGGGAAACTGGGGAAGAGCAGGTCCAGGATAAATGCCAGGCTTCCTGCCTCCCAGCTCAGGGCTCCTTTTGTCCTTAGCCTCCATGGGGAGTGAATGAGAACACAGTTTTGACCCTTGGTAGACTGTGGGTTTGGCCTTGGCTCTGCCACAGGCATGCAGTATGACCCGGGGGGAGTTTCTTGACCTCTCTGAATACCCGGGCTCCTGTCTGTAAACTGATGGATCACATTTAACTCTTGGGGTTGCTCTGCAGATTCAGTGAGATACCGTATAAAGCATCCTATAAACTTCTCAATATACAGTAGGTGCTCAATGAATGATCGCTTATACGCTAACAAAGGAGACAGGTATCCCACGATGCCCTGGATATTCTGGGGTAAACTGAACACGCCTGAGCCAGCAAGTAGAGCTCTGGGGAGAAGCCTGAAGACCTTCTAGACTCTGCTACTAACCTGCTCATGACCTCAGGTAAGTCCCAAACGCCCTAAGTGAGACCCAGCTTCCCCGCCTGTATGAAGGGACCACTATGAACCTTGTTTGTCACCAGTCTGTGGAGACGAACAATAACCACGAGTGTCCTCTTCCCAGGGTCACCCCGGGCTGATCGGGGGCTCACCATGGGGATGAGGTTGCTGGGGTGGCAGGTGGCCAGGGTGCTGGCTCCAGCTCTGTCCCTCTGGGAAGGACTCCGGTGGTGCCAGCCTCAGGCTTTTGTTGGCTCCCCTGTTTACCTGGTTTCCACTTTCTTCCCCGCCTCAGCTTCTAAACCAAGCTGCTTCAGAAGAAACCAGCACCCCCTCTCCCTGTCCCTGGGTTCCTGACAGCAGGAACCAGGCTGGGTGGCCAGGCTCGGGTCTCGGAAACACCCTCCAGGGCCTTGTTGGGTCAAAACTCCTGCTGAACCCTGTTCTATGTCGCTTTGGGTAAGAGACTGAAGTTCTCTGAGGCTCTGTTTCCCTCATTGGTGAAACCAGGAGGAGGATGTGGACATCCTTGGGACCTACCAGGACATTCAAAAAGATGACACATTGACGTATCCTACACAGGCTCGGGCACAAAGCCAGAGGAGGAGGTGAGGAGGTGATCAACAGGTAACATCTTATAAGGGACAGAGTTATAGATAAAGAATGCAGGATAGAGCACCAAAAGGAGTGGTTCTTGAGGTGAGGTGCCTGAATAGGGTTTAAACCTCACATTCAAGGCTTTTACCAAAGGTCATAGGAGGTCAGACATAGGCAGATTTCCATTCCTAGCTGAGGACATTGGCTGCTGGGCAGCCGACTGATCAAATGACAAAGTTAGCTGGGAAAATATTCTCTGGCCTGCTGGGCTCCATCTTATCAGACCAAGAGAAGCGGAGAGCCCAGAGTTGGGTTTCAGGGCTGGAAAGCGGGCTCCACCCTACTGTGCCGCTGAGTCTGTGTGCAACCTGGGGCTCATGCCTACCCCACTAAGGGCCTCTGTTTTCCTGAAAAACGGAGAGTTGGATCACATGATCTCTAAGATCCAGGTCTGACATTCTTGGATTTCCCCTCTTTACTTTCACAAATAGAGGTCTCAATCCTAAACACAATGCTAAATTTTATAGTAACTATTTAGAGCCTAGCTATGTATTGTTTTATATCTTTACTCCCTCTCCCCACCACATATGGTAAGATGGTAAATAAATAATAAGTGAATGTGAATGAACACTCGATGGGATTTGAGAATATATTTTGAGTTCGCTCATCTTACGATACATGAGAGTTTTAACACAATTACCCTAAACATTTCTTGGAAAAAGAGAGCTAGAAATGAATGGAAAACACATACTCTTTGAAATCAGCCTAGCCTGGGTTCAAATCCTAACTCCTCCCTTTGTTAACCATGTGACCCTGGGCAGCGGATGCTGTGTCTCTGAGCCTCAGGGTTTTTTCATCTAAAAATGGAAATCAAAATCCTACTCCCAGTCTGTCATGATAAGTGGATGGTGGTGAGGGCCTGGGGTCACCCATGGGCAGTGGGATGCTGAGCTGGGCTTGGGGATGTCATGAGGGGAAGCCAGGACTCACGTGCAGGACGAACTGGGCCGCCACAGGCTTGTGGTCACTGACGGTGTACTCCATGTGGCTGCGGTAGCTGTGCTGGGTCACCTGGAGCCGGTGGTTCTCCCTTCCTGAGGGGCTGGGACCTCCACCTGGAGCCTTGACCTTCCACAGGATACGGTCTGTCCAGGCTGGCTTCCGCTTCTTCGCACTGCAATAGGCAGGGGTAGCCTGAGTATCAGGGGCTGTGAGTCAAGCCCCGCTGTTCCCCTTTCCTCTCCTTTATCCTTATTCCTTATTCCTTTATCCCCTTTATCCCCTCTCAGCCCACATCCCCGCCTCTCATCCTGGGGCTGAGCTCACCTGGTATCATATTTGTTAGTACCCACGTCAAACTTGAAGGTGGGTGCAAAGTTGAGGGGCCCCTCCTGGAAGCCCTTCAGGATGGGCCAGGTGTTCTTGGCCATGTTGAGCTGTGAGGATCCAGAAGCAGAGAATCGGACAAGAGCTTGGATAGAGCAGGTGAGGGCAAGGACCATCGCCTAGGGTACAGGTGGTCCTAGGGCATGTTCTGTGTGCTTGGGGTTTGGGGTGCAGGTTGCAATTTCCCCACCTGGTCTTTCTCCCAGAGCTGGTGGAGCTGCTCACTGTCAATGGCAAGCTTGACAAAGTGCAGGTCGTAGCTCTCGATGCGGAAGTTCAGGTCTCCGAACCAGAACACGAGGCTGTTGCGGGAAGGGAGCGGGGGTGGTCAGCAGGGTCCATGGGAAGAAGAGCCCAATTCCATCTTCTCTGCCCCCATCCAACCTGACAGAGCTGGCTGCTCCCAGTGATGACACAGGGGGGTGGGTGTGTTGTCAGGTTCTGATTCCCAGCAAGGTCCTGCCCCTCAGCAAAGATCTATCCTGCAGGATCCATCCACTTCCCGATCAAAGTGAAGGTCACTCAGTCGTGTCCGACTCTTTGAGACCCCATGGACTATACAGTCCATGGAATTCTCCAGGCCAGAATAGTGGAGTGGGTAGGGTAGTCTTTCCTTTCTCCAGGGGATCTTCCCAACCCAGGGATCGAACTCAGGTCTCCCGCATTGCAGGCGGATTCTTTACCAGCTGAGCCACAAGGGAAACCCAAGAATAC